AAAAGAGAAGACCAATGACGAGGAGGAGGAGGAGGAGGAGAATCTACCTGTTCTTCTAGAGCGGCCGCTTTTGACAGGCTCAGCTTGTCCGTAGCGCCTGCAACATACCAGCGCGGTTGATACCGGTCAAAGTCAAGCGCTTTGACCAGACTCAGCATTTCAGCCGTGTGGCCGCCTGTCGTCATCATTATCGCCGGAAGTACATACAGATACATGCAATGAGTTAATGACACAAAATAAAAACTAAATGGATTTTTTTTTATTTTTTTTTGAATTTGAAAGGAAAAAAAAAAATGGAAAGGAAAAGAAAAGAAAAAAACTTAAGAAGACAAGGGATGCGTAAGTCATCAAAGTCTGTTAACTCAAGGGCGTTTCTTTTCTGTCATCCACGTATTCGACGTAATGTTCAGAGGCCGAAAGAGATTCAGTTAATTCACATTGGAAAAAAAAACAGGGACAGCTGCTCTGCGCAGCTCAGCAGATCGAGTGCATAACTAAACCCCCACACAATGTGACATATAGGTTTTGTATAAACAGTGAAATTGACAGGTTTTAAAATATTTTTTAAAAAATAAAAAATAATAAAAAATGGACAGGTTCCAATCCCTCGTCTTGATCCCAATCCCTCGTCTTGATCATTGAGGCCCGTGTCAGACTGTACGGGAAGCAAAGTGAATACGCTTGCACCGTTCAGCTCACGTAACAGTAGAGAGGAGGTACTGCTCTAACGACGGAACGAGACGGGAGGCCGCCGTCAATAAACAAACTGAAAATCAATCAAATAAAAACAAACGAAAAGCCGGAAACCCAATACGAGTCGACATCGGTACATCCCGGCCGGTTGGGAGGGGGAGAGGGAGGGGAGGAGTGGTGGGGAGGGAGGGGAACACTAGTAGCTCATCAACCAACTTGAATCTAGCGGCCGAAGTAGTGGTGTCTGCTCTTATCAGCACCACTAACACTGTAGGGGGCGTTAAATATAAAAAAAAAAAAAAAAAAAACGCACGCTCATTACGAGAGGCTACTGCTGCTACTACGACAACAACCGTCTTCACCCGAATAGAACGCACGGTCATTATCGATGCATCTGGACTGAAAGTTGCACTCCTCAAAAACAGTGCCAATGACCACCATGCGTTCTATTCCGAGGAAGAAACTCACTATCCATTATTAGGTCACACGTTGGGCAAGACTCTTCTTGGATAAAGACACCCCCCTCCTCCCCCCGCCCCCCCTCCCCCTCAACTTACTAACAACTAGAGACTGCTTCTCGTCACATTATCTTCGTCACCGCCCTCCCTATGGTTAGGACTTCTCCTCTCCTCTATTCTCCTCTCCTCTCCTATCCTCTCCTCTCCTCTCTCTCTCTCCTGATCTCGGTCTATTGGTTGGTTGGTTGGTTGATTACATGTCCGCTTGGTTGCGTTTACGGGGATGCTTCCCCCACCAGACCTACCGACCGATAATCGCCACGTGTTCAGTTGTACGCAACGGGATCCCATCCGGCAGCTCCCCCATTTTATTCCCGGTTGGTTAATCGCCACGTGTTCCGTTCTACGCGACGCGATCCCGTACCGCAGCTCCCCCCTTTCTTGGGGAGGGTGGTTGGGTTGATCAGAAAAACACGGCACCGTCTTCCCCCGAACACAACGCACCCTCGTCATGACTGCATCAGACCGGAAACATAGCGGCTATACACTCATTTTTTAGGGTGCGTTCTATTCGGGGGAAGCCGGCAGTGATATACTTGTCAACAGACGTGCACACTACTACGCCAGCTAGCTACTGCGTTCACAAAATGACCAAAAGAAATAACCAAAAAAAAAACAAAAGAAAACATAATGATACTTCTGATCCAAGGTCAAATCATCGTCGAGTCGATGCAAGGGAAAGGAGTTTTTCTCTGATTTGAGGCGATACGAGGGAAAAGAGTTTTAATCTGATCTGATGCGAGGTGCGCGAGGTAAAGAAGAAAATCTAAATCGAAATGGGCCCATCGCATCGATTCCTCCCTCTCCTTTCCCCCACGATGGACCCACGCCGCAGGGGAGTACTGCATCTCTCATCCCGCGAGTCTGCTTACCAGCTGATAGGCCAAAACAGACAGAGGGGGAAAAGGGGGGGGGGAAGGGGGGATCTTTGGGAGGAGAGGACGAAAGGGTGGGAGGGAGAAAGGAGAAGCGGAAGGCTGAGAGAGAGGAAAAGAGGAGAGTAGAAAGACAGCCAATCTTGAAAGTCCACTATTCTTGCTGCCAAGAAATGAGCACGAGAGATACAGAGACAGGGAAAGAGCTAAGGGAAGAGCTAAGGGACCACCTAGACTTTGGTTTTCTGTCCTCCTTCGGCCGCCTGTTGCTGAGCCCACTCATTCAAAGCATTCTCCATTCCGTGCAAAGCAATGTTGGCCAGTAAAGGCGATACAAGTTCAGGGCTTTTCTCCCTTTTCCTTTTTTCTTTTCGTCCGTAGCTTTTTTTTTCCTGACGATCGACTCATGTTACTGTGTTCACTGTACGATCTGAATCTGATTCAATTCGATTCGCATTGGATCTCAATCTGAATCAATGTGCTTCGATTCGATCTGAATCTGATTCGATCCGATTCCAATCGATTCTGTTCGGTTGTTCAATGCGCTTCGGTTCGATCTGAATCTCTGATTGAATTCGATTCGGATTCGATCTGATTCAATCCGATTCCACTCGATTCGATCTGATTCGGTCTGATGCAATCCGATTCCACTCGATTCGATCTGATTCGATTCGATTCGATTCGATGCGATGCGATGCGATGCGATTAGATTTCATTTGATTGGGTTTGGTTGGTTTGACCACACCTCCATAATTGCTTTGCCTACATACATCATCGCATTGCGTCCTCGTGGTTGACTAAATTCATCAATTATTTTAATAAATAAAAATAAATTATAATAATAATATTAATAATAATGAGTGACAAATAATAGGACTCAAAAGGGCTTTTCGTCACGAAACTGGTATCTCGACTGAAATGAGTTTCATTCCTCTCATTTAACAACCATCGCTGGAAAGAAAAAAGAAAAAGACAAAGACGAAGAAAAAAAACAAGGGAGGAGATCTCTTCCCAGACAAGCTGCAGGGAAAGCATGAGCGTACCCGTCTTCGCCCGAATAGAACTTACGTCCTCGTAATCGTATCTAGACAGAAAGGAGCTCAAAAGAACAGCTATAAAAACCGTGCGTTCTATTCGGGGTAAAGGCGGTAGATTGAAGCGCTGCATCGAAAACCCCTCACTAAGCCTGTACAGGACACAGCTTCTTTGAGAACGCAAAAAAATCTCTCAGTTCTCTCTTCCATTGCTTTGCGGCAATTCCTCCCGTGCCCAGATGATCAATTACCTGCCACAATCTCCCCTTTCCCCAGGTCCCCTCCGCTTCATCACCACAACCCCCCCCCCCCCCCCTCTGCGCGTTTGTTGCGTTCTATACAGCTCAGCAACACCGTATCGGAGATGAAGCAGATGAAGCAGGAAAACTATATACCCGTTGCTTTCTTCACAAGCCGAGTTCGTCTCCATACCTAATAACAAAAACTACGCCGTCATGAAATAATACATACCTAAAAACAAAAACGATGCCGTCATGAAATAATACATACCTAAAAACAAAAACAATGCCGTCATGAAATAATACTATAATACTATAGTTCACGATCGAAATGCATTTTAGCTTTTTCAGACGTATCTCTCTGCTTCATCTCCACAGCTAAAACCGAGTTCTTATCCATAGATAGATTGGAGTGTTGATTCTTCTGTTGATTCTTCTTGATCAAAGCATTCACCTGAAGAACTCGATTTTGCCTTTGCTGCTGCGCGTGCTGCTGCGCGTCTGTTGCGCTCTATGTATACAGCTTCCCCACGTATCGGAGATGACAGGGGGAACTCCGATCGGAATGCATCGTAACTTACCTTTTTTGCACGTATCCAGCTTCATCTCCATACCTAAAAACTATGGCCATTGCTTTCTTCGCAAACACCCTATTACTCTCTTACATGATGCGCATGAGAAAAAGTACCAGAGAGAAAGAAAGGCTCACATAATTAGCATGTCTGCTGGATTGATCAATGCATCGTAACTTACCTTTTTTGCACGTATCCAGCTTCATCTGCATACCTAAAAAATATGGCCGTTGCTTTCTTCGCAAACACCCTATTACTCTCTTACATGATGCGCACGAGAAAAAGTACCAGAGAGAAAGAAAGGCTCACATACTGTAATTAGCATGACTGCTGGATTGATCGATGCTGAGGCTTTCTTTTACGTATGTATTGTAGCCTCTCGTCGGTCTTGTGAAGTTCAACCTCTTACTTACAGTGGGTAGAACGCGTCGGTTTGTTTTTTTTAATTCGGTTATATCTTATATTTTGTTTGATGGTTGACTTGCAATTTTGTTGAATAGAAATAAGATCACCTCTTACAGTAGGTAGAACACAAAGTCAGATAAGCGATTGACTACATAATCGAGCAAAGAAGGAAAGAAAACTTATGCTCCGTGAGGTTTCAGTAAGCTAGATCAATCAAACAATGAATTCTTCAATCCCACCGGGCCATCGTCACAATTTTCAATTCCCATTAGCTAAGGGTTCAGTCTAGATAAGAGATGGGATGGTTGGATTTGACCGGCGGCGAATTATCTTGTTTACTTACCCACTAGCATGAGAAAAAGTAGCAAAGAGAAGGAAAGGCTTACATACATACAGTAATTAGCATGAGAGAAAGTAGCAGAGAGACAAAGACGGGGAGAGGGGAGGAGATCAAGATCAAGAAAGTCACTACGCAAACAACGCGATGAGCTGATCGATCCAACCCCATCAGGTCACCTGCGCCCTGCGCGGTACCGTGCGTTCCAGTCCTGCCTGCACACCTACTCTACTCCACAGGTTCAGAGTGCGCTCTTTGCGCAGAAGTGCGTGAGGGCTTCCCTGGTCCAACTATGCATACACACGTGAGGGGATGGCAGAATGCCGCCGAACACAATCCACCCACCTGAACCAAGGACGATGAGCGTGCGAACCTTCTCCTTCGGCCCTCTTCTTTGACGACATGCACGCCATGGTGACCTACCGGTCTGGAGAAGAACGAAGACGGCTCGGGCTACGACCAGCGCCACAAGCACTGACAGCAGGTGAAAGTAAAGAGAGGACGATGACGGGAGGGAGAAAGAGGAAGACGCCACATGCTCCGCCGATACCACCGCCGCCGCCATCGCCACCACCTTCCCACTGCGCGCTGTCGGAAAGTGCGTCAATCCCGCACTGCTGCGCCATCGCTGGTTGGCGCTCCATTTCTGTTATCGCGCTTCAATTTTCGATTCAATTTTTGCTTCAATTTTTCACGGCGTGGGAACGCGGGACCCAGACTCGGTGCGGCTCGCACAGGGCATTTTCTATTTCTACCAGTAGTTGTGGTTGTCGAACCACACGACCGTGCGACACCAGGAGCCCGTGCGACACTTAGGAGCCCGTGCGACACTTAGGAGCCGTCGATAGACTGTTCGTTTCATCCAACCGTCAAGACTACCAGTTCACCCGAGCGTATTATTTTATATATTTGTAAGAGCCGATCCCCGACAGCGGGCTCAGCCGGAATCGGCAGTCGGGAGTCTTCACGACTCAAGTTTTTCCCCCGAGTGGTCAGATCCCAGTGCCCGTACAGGGTCATGTGGATCCCAATTTGGGGGGGGCGTCAAGCACCCCTCGGAATAATGGCCAGGATGGAGGTCGGTTGGAAGGTAACATAGGAGACGTGGAGGGAGCATCAGGAGTGGCAGGAACAGGTGCAGGCCATCAATCTCGGACGAGACATCCTTCGACCGGTAAACAACGGAGGCTCAGTTAAGATGCTGCATCGGACTCAAACGGCGAGAAATCCGACTCCTCCCTCCCTCAGTCGGAAGGATCTCAGGGACAATTCGTGGATGTGAGTACACCAGGTTGCAAGACCACAAGGAGGAGGACTCCCGTGGCCTTGGCATATGGCCAGATTCAAACGGTCGACAGGCGAGTATTACCTCTATTTTGTACGATCACTCGAAACAATACATGGGTAATCGCCTGGTCTGCAGCTGACGGGTCGCCTACTTTTGTAAGTACTCCTTGCCCTGAGCAACCCATGCCTTCTGCGATGGTTTCTCTCTTAAGACCAGTGATTAAACCACCAGTACTTGGGCACTGCGCGCCGCGCCGGCCGCCCACATCTCGAAGCGGCGCAGGCTGTCGATTTCAGTTATCGATGGCCCACCAGTAGCGGCGCGCCCGTAGCGTTAACGCTAAGGCGTTGCCCAAGTACTGGTGGTTTAACGACCGGTTTGCCTTCCGACTGATTCCTGATCTGTCGATGCCTCGACTTATCAGAGACAGCCCGGAAGGTAATGGGAAGAAAGTGATATTTCATGTTCCAATAATGGATGCCAGATTCGTTACAGGCCAACTCGAGAGACTGGAATCGGAAGGCCTCCTTCTTGTCCCTCTTTCGTGGATAGTAGAAGGAAAAAAGAGTGAACTGTCACGGATAAGTGCACCTCCACTCTCGTCTGCTGATTTGCTATGTGACGTGGACAGTCGCTTTTTAGCCGACCGCAAATTGAACTCTATGTTTGTTCGCTCCTTCTTGTTGAAGTCTTGGCTCCCAAACCCGCAAGGAAGAGCCTCCTCGCGTAGTAACAACTCATCTTCTCCTCGCATCCAAAATTTCGGGGTGAGATCCGGTAATGGGCAAGCTTAGGCTTGCTACCTGGAATGTCAGGGGGTTGGGTGATACGTCAGGCAAACACAAGAAAAAAAGGTTGAAATCCTGGCTATTTGATAATCAGATTCAGGTTGCTTGTATTCAGGAGACCAAATTAAGTGAGGAGAAGATCTCTGTTCTCGGGAACCGGTGGTACGGTCCACAATTGTGGGCCCCGGCTGTTGGTACGAGAGGAGGGGTTGCAGTGTTGATCCATCGGTACACAGAGTTGGAAATCATTCACTTTTATGCTGACTTATGGGGCCGTTGGGCGTGGGTAAAAAAAAATTTCGAAGAGAAGACTTGGGTTATAGTCTCGGTTTACGCCCCAGTGGAATCCCGCCTTCGAGCGCGGTTCTACCGAATTAATGCTTGTAATTCCAGCCGGCGACTACATAGTTGTTACGGGTGATTGGAATATCTCGCTGGACTTGCTACATTCTAACAGATTTTCAGACGATAAGGCCGCTCTTTCTTGTTTGATGGATGAGCTCAATTTAATTGACCCATTTAGGTTAACTCACCCCGATGAGGGAGGTGCTACATGGTTCTCACACGGTCGCTCTTCACAAGGCACTATCGAACGAAGACTAGATTTCTTCCTAACTTCGTCCACATTGTGGGATCATGTAAGTTATATTTCGGAAAGCTTCCATCCTATGCCTGACCATAAACCAGTCCAACTTCATTTGACTACGTCAGAGGCCGCTTGTGCTAGGGGTCTGTTTCGCTTCAATACCCAGAACCTACAAGTACCAGGTCTTGTCGTCTGGATTAAGAATTTTTGGAAGGACTGGAATGAAGCTCGTCAGTTGTATCCCTCTCTCACGGAATGGTGGAATTCGGGGTCAAAAATCTTTTCAAATTTGTTAAATATCCTTTCACGTATCATAGCTTTTGGTCGTAACAACGATGAAACACGCTTGGTTAAAAGGATTGAATATTCGGAAGTACGCATGCAGGAACACCCGGTATCAAACCTGGTGTGGGGTAAGGAAAGGGCGAAACTAATGTCAGAGTGGGATAATATGCAGTGTCAGAAGTCTGAAATCTGGGCCGAACGCCTACGGATTAAGGGGATCTCAGTACACGATCGAATGACCAAAGAAGCGTTTCAGAAGCTCCTTCCTCGCAGGGCTTCGTTCCGGATGAAGGAATTAAAGCATCCCTTTGACGAGTTGGCCCCTAGGGCCAAGGAACTCACACTTCTTTGTGAATATGCTTCCTATTATTATCGGGATATCTTAACATCTCGTCTCCAGGGAGCACAGATTAATTCTGCCCTACATCTCACTTCTTCACATTGGGACAATACCCGGGTCCGGCTGTCTGTAACAGGTCGCCTGGATCTAGATCGGCCCATTTCTTTGCTTGAGGCCCATGAAGCATTGAAGTCCATGTCCAAGGGTAAAGCCCCAGGGGACGATGGACTTCCGGTATAACTTTTTTTGGCGCTTTGGGATGTCGTAAGAGATGGATTGGTACAAATTTATAATGAAGTCCTCATTGGCGGCAGATTGGCAGCAAATATGTGCAACGGGATCATCTCGGTGTTATTTAAAAAAGGTGAGCGTGCCGAGATTCGGAATTGGCGTCCTATTTCAGTGTTGAGCGTCTCGTATAAAATCTTGGTCAAAATTTTGGCAAGACGCCTAGGCCGCTACTTACCGTCTTTGGTCCACTCAGATCAAGCTGCGTTCGTTCAGGGAAGATCCATATTTGACAACATCATCACTGCCATTGAAAGCTTGGAGGTAATTCAGAATGACCAATTAGACATAGCTGTGCTGCTACTGGACATGGAAAAGGCGTACGATAGGGTTAATTGGTCGTACGTCTTAACCACGTTGAAGGTTATGTCATTTGGCCAGAATTTCTGTAGATGGGTTATTGCCCTGTATACTGATTCTACCACTGCAGTGATGATCAATGACCGCCTCTCTGAGGAATTCTCGCTCTCTCGCTCACTACGCCAGGGCTGCCCACTAGCCCCTCTTCTGTTCGCCATCCAAATGGAAAATTTGCTTAATAACATTCGGGCCCATCCCTCCATTGGAGGTCTGCCAACTCTCTCTTCTCCATTGAAGGTGAAAGCTCTAGCCGATGATTTATTTGCGGTTTCTCGTAATTTTCCTCAATCTTTGAATGCTCTGAAACTTTGCCTGGATGATTACGCTTCCCTCTCAGAAGCTGCCATCAACTGACACAAGTCAACTTTCTTCCTACCTGCTTGCTTTACCATGTCTGTCAAATGGGGAATGAAACGAATCTCGGAGAACAACTCCGAATGCTTTCTAGGGGTTCAGATATCTCTGATATCGGCTGCAGCCGATCAAGACGATATTCTGTTGCAAAAAGTGAACCAGAGAATCCCCTCGTGGGGCCATGCGCCTCACCTTTCTCTTTTTGGTAGGGCGATGGTAACTGATGGCGCCCTATTTGCGCTACTATGGTTTGTTGGGAAGGTAAGAAGATTGGGACCGCCACTCTGTACCACGGTCAGACACCGAAGCGCACGTTTTATATGGAAACCCTATGCAGAGGGAGAGGATTCCTTTATATCCAAGTGGCGTGGGATATGATCTGTACGTCTAGATCCGAAGGGGGTCAGGGTCTTCATGACCCGAAGAGGCAAAATGATGCAATGCTAGCTGAGTGGGTGGTTAAAGCTAGCCAATCTTAAGACCCGCACCACTGGATTGACCTTGCTGAACAAATCCTCTCGCAGGAATGGAACCTGAAGAGACCTAAAGACGTCTGGGTCTGCCTCCTTCTTAAATCCTTTTTAAGTAGGAGGATTAAATCTCCTCTCTGGCAAGCAATTATCAGCGCTTGGAAGAAAATTTGTCCATCGAAATGGAAGCCCCCCAGTCACAAAAGCCGAAGTTTTAACGCAACCATTGTTTGATAACCCTTTGATCATTCTGTCAAATGACCATCCTATTCCCGCCGACTCGGCACCAGGAAGCTTTGGACGTTCGTGGATTGAAAAGGGAATTCTTAAGATTGAGGAYTTATGGAATGATCTGAGAGGTGATTGGAAACAGGAAGAGGAGATCAGATCTAGTCTGGGACAAGTAAGACAGTTACAACAGAAGAAGGAAACTATCATCTCTGCAATTCCTCCGAAATGGAAAACCTTATTGTTCTCAGAGACCTTGGACCCCCCAGACACTTGGTACTCCTCTGACTCTTTTTCTCCTTCTGTCTGGCGGCTCATTGAACATTTGTCAGATGGCAAATGCAGTTTTCAAGCTTACTCAGTTTTACCCTTACAAACTCTGATCAAGGATGATGATAATCCCTCGCCACAATTGGGTTGTTCCCTCATACAAGTCCGGGTATTGATAACAGCAGTGGGTGAATCTGAACCTGAGTACAGACTGCTTGGACAGGGTCATTCTATCTTACATCTGAAAGTGGACCCGCACTTCTGGGAATGGACGATTAAGGGGAAAAAAGGCGTCTATCCTAACCTCACAGAGTACTCTCTTAATTTGGGATACTCAGTTCAAAGGCCCTTGAAGTGCCCATTGGTTACAGCCAGATCACGTTGGTTGAAGTTAGTAGAATTGGATCAAGAGTTTGATCTTACTCGTATAGATGCGGCTCTT